GGCCCGGGGTCACCCTGGTCTCAGGAGAGTACAAAGATGAAGGCCAGTCAGGGAATAGGGAAGGGAGTGGCTCAGGGACACAGGAACAGACATAGGAACAGGGGAAGGAGCCGGTGGGGTCTTAGCGGGCTTTTGAGGGAAGCTTCTTGTGTTTCCCCAACCCAGGGGATGCCCTCAGGGTGTCCACACTGCAGTAGCTAATGCTGGCTGACAGCAACGGTGGGATCGGCCACCTGCCTGCCGGCATCTTCAAGAACCTGAGCCAACTGCGCAGCCTGAACCTGGAGAGTGCAGGACTGAGCTGCCTTGGCCCTGAGGTCTTCCACAACCTGACACCACTGAAGGAGCTGCGCCTGGCCAAGAACGAGCTGAGCACATTGTATGTGATTCTGGCCATGGAATTGCTGCTTTAAAATGTTTTACTTTCCGTAACTTGTCTGGGTTTTTTTTATGCAAGAGGTCAGTGTTTCACCTTTTACAAATAAAGAGATTATGATGATGCTACTTATTAATTTCCCTTGGAGCACATATGCAAGGCAGGTACTCTGCTCTCAAGACTTTAACTTGTGCAGAATTTATCTTCCCTTGTACGTAATTTTTCTTTGCTGAGCTATTCCCAGTGAACATCACCAAATCCCATAAGACCAGTCCTGACTCCACCAAAATAAAATCAAACTGTGAATGTTATTTTTCTCAAGGATTTTAAGGTTTATAAATCCCCTGTTCTGAAGTGATATGAGGTACGGCAGGCAAGACCTAAAGGGTTTAGAGATAAAAGCAGCATTTTTCGTGTGTTTTTTATGAAAAATAAAACATTTTCACTCAGACATGGCAGGTTCTGCCTGCTGCTGCAAGGTTTGGGGAGGGAATCTGGGGACATCCAGCAGGTCCTGACACCTCATTTTTCCTTAAGTGAGGATTCTGAAATGGCAAAGGAAAAGTATCAGGAAACTTTAGAAGCTGAGGAAAACTACCCAAATAATGGTTGCTGAGGCGCTTGCCTGTGTTTTGGGCAGTGAAAGAATAGTTGGGGTTGGAAGGGCCTCTAGAGATCAACCAAAAAAATGTCCTGGTCTGGCACAATGCCTCCCCTCAGAATGTCTGGGGTTTGGGAGGTGAAACCTAATTTGTGTCCTCGAAGAGATGGATGGAGTTTTGTCCAGATTTGAGTTTGAAGGAAATAGAATTGTGAGTGTTTGTGAGAAACACGTCCACTCTCCTGTGAAAATTTTAAAAGTTTAATAAAGGACAATAGGAGACAAGGACCATAGAGCAAAGGTTATTATGGCCATCTTGGCATTGGGCCAAGACCACACTGTTACCTTTGGGGAGACCCCTTAAATAATTTTTCCCTTACGTCAGCCTGTTGCATATTCATAGACCCTTATGCATATCCATAAACTAGTTTACATTTTCCAGGAGCTATTTTATATGGCTCCTCCTTGGGTTTGTCTTTTTAGAGCATGCGTGTTTCTTGGCTGGTTTTGGTTCCTTCTCCTTATCACTTCCAGTTTGGGCCTTGGTCCATACTTCTTCAGATGGTGAGTGCTGATTTTTGGCATATCTGTAGCAGGTGTCCTCATCCTGTGTTCATTGAGTGTATCCCATCCAAGCAGGCATTTTAACACAAGCATAGCTATTTCACTACTATGTCTAAGCTTAATTAACAGTAGAAATACAAATGATATCTTTGTAACAAAGTTACTTTAACATCACACATATAGAATCCATATTAATATTTGCGAAAAGCCAATAGTATAATATGTATCTATAACAGTGTTGCATTGCTCTCAGCTGTTTTTGTGTCTCTTAGCCCTGTGGAATGTGGCAGGACAGGTGAGGTTCCTCCCTGCCCACCTCCCCCACCTGCTGAGTCCTTCTGAAAGGCTGCCAAGGGAGCAACCCACTTCACTCCCCTCATCCACCCAGGAACTCTCCCGTCATGGAAGGCAATTAGATTGGTTCTGTGATGTAATTATATGGAGTGCAGTGGGGAACCTTCTCCCTGCCTTCCTCCCGGTTTATCTCAAGCACCTCTTCTTGCTTTATTCTCTGTTGCTCTGTCCTGCTCCCCCTGCTGTGAGTGTGGGGGGCAGGGGGGGTTGGAAGTTGGCAGCAGACAAAGACCACTCACCCCTGACGTGGCTGCTGGAACCCGGGCTAGCTCTTAGAACTCCGGTGCCACACCAGGAGTGGGGAACTGCCTCGGGATGGCGATTTAGCAGAGGAAGAACATTTAGAGCCACTTGCTCTCAGGTGCCAGACACAAGCCACGACAGGGACCAGACAGAGGCGAAAGGTGGAGGGTCTCTATCTTGATGTTCCACAAGGAACAGTTTATTCCAGGTGAAGGGAGCAGGCCAAAAAGCCCCTAGCTGTATTGTCCAAGGGGCTTTGTATTGATACAAGTCACGGGGTGGATACAAACAGCTAACCAATAGGGAATCCTCAGGGGATGAGTGAGGGAATTACATCGAGTGTCTGGGGCCAGCTGGGGTAGGAGGGTGGAGAGGGTGGGTCACATGGGCCAATGGGACTTCCAGGAGTGGGGGAATTCCAAAGGGGTAGGGCAGTCAGGGATTGGCCCGAGGTTTAAGTGGAAGGGAAGGTTTAGGAATCAAGGGCTGGGTTGCCTTGACTGGTGGGGAAAGGGCAGGGAATGGCATGAGGGACATCTTTGAGAGAGGGTGTAACCCAGGGTAAACCAGCTTGGGGAGAACATGGGGGTACAACAGAACAAACCACTTACCAAGGAATCAATAAATTCAAACCACAACAACCCCAATGTTCATGTGGCAACAGAGAGCTTTTATTTCACAAGCTCTTGCTTATATGGGGCATTTGAAAAACCCCATCTGCATACTTTCATAGGTCAGAACTCTACACCCCTTCAGGTCCTGGCCAGGGAAATGCCTGCAGCCTTGGGAGAGATGTGAGTGGGCAAGGCCCCTTCAGTCCAACCAGGGGCTGGTTGGTTTGCCCATCACAGACCAGCTAATACAGGGTAACACTGTGCTATCATTCATCCCTGGAACTGGCAGAACTTTCTTTCCCCCAATTGTCTGTACGCCATCATCACTTGAGTTGCTCCTGCTTTCACAGAATCAAAGTCAGTTTGGTTGGAAGGGTCCAACCTTCCTGCTCAGGCAGCATTCTCCTGGGGCACATGGCATAGTATTGTGTCCAGACCTACAGTCCTCTGTAGATCCAGATGAGGTTCAGTGTACACAAACCATGTGGTGGAAGTTCCTACTGAGGTGCCATCACCATATACCAACTCACTGGCAGTGATGTCATGGAAAGGAGAACAAAGAGTGGAAAATTTGGTTACCAAACTCTGGCAACATGAAGAAAATATCTTTTTCACCCTGTGGGCCTGCATCTTGTCTGTGGAAAAGACCTCCAGCAGCTGAAAGAAGTGCCCTATGCCCCACTAGCACAGACTGGGGTGTATTGTCTTGAGCAAGTACCCCCTGCTCAAGAGAGAGGGGCACACCACTAGGTAACCTGTGGTTTTACTTGGCTGACCATGGTGAAAACATACAGAAGTGGGATGGAAAACCCACCTCTGCCTTGGCAGCACAGGTATGTGAGTTGAGAGGAAAAATTAACTATCACAGAAAACTCTTCAAGGAAAAATGTTGTGCTCAGGTGGCCTCAGTGGGTGTTGGACATGTGTGGGTGTGTCTGCCTGCAGCTCAGCAAAGCCTTTGGCACTGCCTCCATCTCCCTGCCTCTCCTGAAGCACCTGCAGCTCACGGCTGGGGCAGGTGCCTCTCGCTGGGAACACCTGGCTGGTGGCCAGGCCACGGAGGGCTGGGAATGGGGCCATAGCCAGCTGGGGCTGGGCACTGCTGGGTTCCCCAGGGCTCAGTGTTGGGGCTGGTCCTGTTCAACATCTGGCCTGGGTGGACAGCTAGGGGCAACTGGGAGGCTTGATGGGGTCAAATAAGGAGTGTGGTGGCCCACTGGGAGAACTGGGGGTTAACTGGGAGATATGTGAGGCAGTGCCCTCATGAGACCCCAAAGCCCACCTGGGCCACCATGGGTTCACTATCACCCCAATCTGCTTCTCCCAGTGGATTTCACGGACAATTGTAATCCTTGAGTGACCCCCAGTGGGTAGTGGGAGGCACAGGGAGTTACTGGGACCATGTTGGGAGCCAACTGAAGACACACTGGGAGCAAATGGAGGATGCTGGAACCATGTTGGGGGTACTGGGGCAACTAGGATCATACAGGAGGGGACAGCTGGAACCATGCTGGGTTTGTACTGGGTGCGTCTGGAACCATGCTGGGGACAACTGGTATCATACTGGGAGTGACTGGGATCATAGTGGGATGATTCTGGTGGGGACAGGAATTGATTGGGACTGTTGGGGTGTGACAGGGATCATACTGGGAGTCGTTTTGATCATACTGGACTCACACTGGGAGTGACTGGAAAGCACTAGAATCATATTGCAGGGAACTGGAATATACTGGGATCATTCTGGGAGTAACTGGAGCCACGCAAATGACCAGGAGCAACGGGAACCACACTGGGAGTGACTGGGATCACACTAAGACGATTAGAGAGCCCGTACTGGGACGGCCCTGGCACGACAGCTGAGGCTGCCCGGGGAGCACCGAGGCGCGGAGTGACTGGGGGCGGGGACATGCAAAGTTATGCTAATGAGCCCTCGGCGGGCGCGGCACCACCGAGTCGCGGAGTGCAGCGGCGCAGAGCGGTCCCGCGCCCCGATTGGCGCGCAGAGGGAAGTGACGTCACAAGGGGCGCGGCGCGGCGGGAGGTTTGAACGGCGCGGCGCGGCGGGAGGTTTGAACGGCGCGGCGGATCCCGGGCGCGACGTCACTGGGCAGGAGCGGGGCTTGGGGATACCCGGGAGTGGCGTGGGGGTATCTCTCCCGAACACCTGAGTCCGCCCTGACTCCCTCTTCCACGGCCGCCGGCTCCCTTCCTGGGCTTGCCCTGACCCTGCGGTGGACTCGGCCACGCCATGCCCCGCCCCAAACCCACCCCCCGACGGCGTGCCAGTCCCCCCGCCCCCCCATCGCCCCGGCCGCGGGCACGCAGTGAGTGAGGGGCGGGGAACTCCCCTGATAAACACCTCCTATGGACCTCCCACATCGAGCCCCCTTTTAGGCCTCCTCTAAGAGCGCTCCTATGGACTCCCTCTGTTGTTGTCCTCCGCCCCCAGCCGGTGCCCTCTATACCCCTATATGCTTCCATCACCTATAGTCACCCCACACTCCCTCTCCCCTATAGCCCCCATTCTCCCTGTCCCCTATAACTCCCTTATATCGGCCATCACTGTAGCTCCCTATAGATCGTTCGTACCCACAATGATCCCCCAGGCCTTACAGATCCCTAAGGATAACCCCCACAGCTTCCCCCTGTCCCCTCTGGCCCTATAGTCCCCATAGATCCCCTATAGCCCCCTGTGTTCTGCCAGGCCCTATAGATCTCCTATACCCCCCATGTTCCTTCAGAGCCCCCCATCTGTGCCCCC